TAGTAACATACAGCTGTTACACATTTTTTAAAACATTTTGGCTTGTGTAAGACGTGGAAAACTTTGATGCAAAATTGTTACTCCGCTAAAACAAAAAGTAATTCCAAAACAAATTTGTGCATTTAAATTATTCTAAATATTGAAGAGGTAGGCGTAAAATATACCATTAGTCAAGGTAACAATTTTAATATAGAAATTATAACATTAGAACTATTTTTTTTAAAAATAAATCAGAAAACTATTATAAAATACATTGTTTACCTTTATACATTAGCCCTCACATTATATACGTTTTTTTTTTATTATTGAACAAGAACATGAACAAAGCTTACAGTTGTTTAAAAGTAACAACTATTACTCCGCCAAAACAATAATAAATTCAAAATCGTGACATTTGCCTAAACGTCGATGCAGGTGAATTGTCGATGTTATTGGTATAAAAATACAATGTAGCACGTTACGTTAAAAATCGGGACTATTTAACGGCATTTTCTTCATCAGTGGATGACTTTTAACCTCGATTCTTGTTGCTCTTGTGAGCAAAATAACCTATTTAGTCCCGCAACGCATGCAACAGCTGTTTTCTCTACAGTATGTCGAACTAAGGATTTCAAAACAAAATTAAATTACCAACTTGAATATTTATAAATTAATTTATTCCCCAGTTGATATGGAAACTTGCAACGAATATAATTGATGTATTCGGTGTATCAACACGGAACAATACAAATGTAAACAATTAGATCACAACTTTTTGTTAAATGGCAGATATTAATGAACGCCCGTTAAAAAACGGTCATTTGTTATTGGTGCCCCGTTTGGACGTCAACAATGGTGCAATATTCATCATGAAACGTATGAATGCAGCGTTGACAATAATATTGGAAATATCGGACGCGCCCTGTATAATGACGTTTCGAACATTGCACACTTCAAATTACTGTTGGACTGTGACGCAACCATGTTAGAGTTGGTTAGCACCTTTTAGACAATATTTGTAGTCAGAATTATAAACGTATTAGGTTAAGTACACGTGTTTTGTGTTTGTAATTAAATAGTTCAATAAACTTACTATCACAATATGTAAAGCTCCCTTTAGACATTTATTTAGAGTTTGCGTTTTAAATACCCCTACATCAATGCCCCATCATTTTCAATCTAGGGTTTTCATTTTAGAGGTGCAAGTTGTTCATTGGCACATGTGCACAGGCAAAAGCCAATTGATATGTTGGCGTGAGTACTTTTTCATTTAGGTTCGTTTCTATTGAAACAAATTCCCTATGCACTTAAAGCTTTTGATTATAGTAACAGCTTGTCACATTCAACACATTTCCCTGCTAAAAAGCATAGGTTTAAGGAATTGATTCCCATTTTTTTGTTAGTAAACACAACAGAAGGTGATCCATTAATGTAAACATGTGAAAAGTAGTATTTTGAATCCTATATATTGATAGGCAAGCATGTTTCTTGAAAACTTTTTTTCAGCTGGTTTGCATCGCAGAGAATATCTACGCATACTGTTAAAAATATATTTTCCTGTAGATGTGCAGAATCACTTTATAAAATAGGCTTAAAAATAAGGAAAAGGTGAATTTAAATATAAAAAAATAACATGGGCCTTATGAGTTGCCATGCAGGTGACGAAATAACAACGAAACGTAAACAGAAAATCTAAACAAATAGAAGAAATTCCAATTACATGTTTTATTTACATCGTAGGGTAAAAAATAGAGAAGTTTGTACATTGCAGTACATATTTTTGGTCGGGTTTTCGACCACTGGATGACTTCTAGTAGACAGATCTAATCGACTACTCGATCGATCTGACTTCTAATCGTATTTTATGCTAACGATCTTTTTTACTTCCTTAAACTGTTGATGGTGTTTCACGACTAAAATTACAAATCCAAAAACTAAGAACGAAAAAAATCGGTTTTCAAAAAGAAAGAAAATCATTAGATAACAATAAATTATTATAACTATAAAAAGTCCTCATGAATGTAGAATTTATTTCCCCAAATGAGCGGATTCGAACCGCTCTCGTCGTTATTTTCTTTGAGGCTGTAAAGAAGGGTTTGAGCAATCAATTTGAAGATGAAATCTGTATCTGCACCGACGTGTAGTCGAGACTCAATAATATCTGCCGCTTACGTCGCAATATTTATTATCCGATTCTACCTCCGCTCTCTGCACAAAGCTAAATAAATGCGCATTTGTGTCAACGCATCGGAATTCTAATGATTTTCCGTTGGGGACAGCTCAGTGGATGATTTTAAACAATAATATGTTTTGAATGTTCACAAATTTGAGTTTTACCAGTTAAAATGTATAGCTTTTCAATTAAAATAACGCATTTGTAGAGGCATTTGTACACAACTGTAGTCTCAAACGGCGTTTTCATGAGAATCTGAGTAATTGAATAATTTTAAGCCAAATATGAATGGAGATGAGTGTAGAATGAGTGGCGCGATCTTGTAGTCTTGTTAGTGACTAAGGCCGACATTCCTTAGACACAGCTGTTAATTAATAGCCCATACAGCTAATGGAAACTAGGAACCTACAGTTTATTCAACATCACAGTAAATCAATGACAGTACTAAAGAAAAATGCTGTACAAACTATAGCTTTATCCAGTATTTACCTAAATACCTGCACAACAATAAGCTAGTCGAATAGAGCATGCTCTTTACTAATTTATTCTAAACTAATTTTAAACACGTGCAGGATTTCCTACAAACGGTCGTTCCAATTTAGTCCACGGACGTGTTTTTATTGTAGTCAAAACTGTACAGCAAAGAGAGCGGGTAGAAAGGACCGGCCGTGAATAAGAGTTTTCATTCACCATATTTGTGTTCATTGTGTGTCTAACCGTGCCGCGAATATTGCTGCAACTGTTTCATCTCAGAATCCAGTTTTGTCGACGTCGTCGTTTTTACGAAACGATCGTTGGAATGTTCAACCTTTATATAATCAAGTCAAATTTAGTGTGTGAATTGCTGACTATTGTGATATTAAATCGAAACTTTGACATCGAGTACGAGTTCGTTCGTTAGGTTTTATACAGATTAACATACAAATGTTTATTTTGAATAAACAAGAGTTCATATTATGTAGCAATTTCTGAAAAATCCACACCTTGTGATTAGGAGTCCGTGTAAATTTCATCCCTTTGATGTTAAAAGGGAGGTCAGGTTCCACCATACAGACTATAAAATACCTCGTTGTGATTTTAATACTGGTAGTCTAACAATGGTCAAGTAGCTAGAGTCAAGTAATTGAAAAATGTACGTGAAAAAGAGATACACTGAATGATTATTATTATATTGTTTGCCATGTTAGTTATCAATGTTATCATATAAATTCGCCATGTTAAAGTAGTCATGAAATTAAACGATGTTGACCGTTGAATTAAGTAAACGACTTCATAAAAAAACTTTCGATCTTAACGTTCAAGTAAAAATAAAAAATATTTCATTGCTAAACCAACAGGCTATGTACTAAATATTATTCTACTAATCATCATATCAAAACTAAATTGCCACAGTATTGGACGATACACCCCCGGACATTTGGAATGACGCAATATTTCCATGTCAAAGTAGGCGGACGTCTCGGGTAACATCAATAAACATGCAATCGAGAGACTCCAAGCGACATCGCCGCAAGGGAGGCAATACCATCTACATCTACCTTCGGTCTCATCGTCTCCATAACCGCTGTATTAATGAGCAGACAGTGTTAAATGTCAAATCCAATTTTTTACGTTCATATTTCCGAAGGATAACAATTTTAAATTTTGTTTATGGACTTGTCCGACTGTCTAAATTTGTTGCAGCGTTTCGGAAAGTGAGGAAACTCCTCCCTTTTTTAAGTGACTAAAAATGTTTAGCGCCCTACAAAAAGATCCCACTAATGTTCAGTACCCTATCTAACCTGTGTAGTTGTGTTTAGTTTTAGCTTATGAGTATAGTTGTGTTTGGTTTGAGTTTAATTTTGTTTTTACATATTGTTTATGTTATGTGGCATAAAACGTAATCAATGTGGAGATAGAGAAAAGGTTAGGGTAGTTCGGTAAATGTAGATCGATAGTTAACTACCCTATCCAACCTACCAAACGTTTTTTTTTCTCTCTACACACATTGATTACATTTTATAAATCACATAGTAAAAAAAACTTTATACGGAAACATGGAGGGACTAAAACTATACACAATGAAACTAAACACAATCTCTTATGTTAGATAGGGCTGTTATGTAAATGTAGATCAATAGTGACTTGAAAATGGTAGGAGTTTTCTTACCTTTCGAAACGTAGTGTGTGTAACTCGAGAAATTCCATAAACTAAAATAAAATGCCAACCATTTCCCTTCTTACCTAATCGTAAAAATAAAAATCTACAACAACTTTTAACTGTTATAACCCACCGTAAATTTGGTTACTCCACGTTTTTTAAAAGCACTAACTTTCAAAGTGGACACACAACACTAATCACCGGACACTACAGAAGGGATTGAGTATGCGTCCTCAACTTCAGAGTAAAAGCTTTTAGTATTCAGGAACACTATATTTAATGTGTTCCAATAGAGGAACACTCTGTCACGTTACTTAACACCCACGGGTGTGAATTTAAGGTTGAACTATATAAAGATGAGATTTCAGCAAATGTGGTTAACCAAATCATTAAATTTCCATTTTACTCAGAGCAACGAATCTGCTTTATCCTATACTTATATTTAAGTTTGTATACAATGTGTATAAGTTACCTAGGAGTGGTAAACCGTATTAAAGATTACGTTGTGATATTTATGGTAAAATATACGTTTTACGTGTAATTTTCCTTTTGGTCATATCAACTGATACCTCAGGTATTGATACCACATTGACTAACATCGTAGACCCTAAATTAGTATCTCACCTTTACCAAAAGCCGTATCAAACCATTTCAAATATCAAAATAATTTAAACAAATATGTACAAACAGACTAAAGCTGTCACTCACCACTCATCCCTGGGGTCTGGAAGTTTCCTGTGTAGCGAGATAAGATCACTGACATACTGGTTGAAGGCGTTCTTCTGCCATCCTTCGTCCACCAGCTTCTTCACGTCCGCGGTCATGTTGGCCGGCAACACAACCGGCTTCCCCAACTCCCCGTACAGCGGTCCATCCCCCAGGTGTTCCCTCGGCGGCACTAGGACTCCGCCCTCCCCACCGTCCGGACCCGCGGGTATCGCGTTCTTCCCGGACGCCGTCTTACTCCTGAAGGCTGTCGGCGGCTGTCCGACCCTCGCTTGGGGTTGTGGCACTCCGAGAACGCCTCTCCGCACACCCCCGCCCACCGGGAACACGTCTTCTCTGCCCTCTCCGGGCGGGAAGGGCGAAGACCCCCGTTGTTCCGTGAACAGCAGGAACGCGACTGTGAGCCACGCTGTGGCGAGGAGGAACACGAGTTTGACTAGGAGAGAGCGACGCCGCAGCAGCGACATCTGGAGTCGGGAGAACATGACACTGTAGCCCATCCCGGGCTACCTCCGCGTCCACGGACCCATCTGCAACAAGAAGAGACCTTGGTTAGATATGTAGTATTGATTTGCTAAAGTTGTAAACAGCTTTCCAAGGCTTGTATCTCCTATACGAGGATACGTATAGATTAGAAGACTAGTGGTTAGAGAAGTTCTAACTACAATGGAGAGTAATAAGTACATGGCATTTCAACGACAGTAACATTTGCAGTTCCTGACTAGTGGGCAAACACAAATGTTATACAACTACGTCTACGTCATTTTATAATATATCACCACTTATGCGTTAACAAAGTTTTTTTGTAAAAAAACCTAAACGTCATGCCACTAAAAACCTGGGGGTGTATTGTGATCTGAAGACAGCGAAGAACCTTTACGGTGGAAGTGGTAGACAAGCCCGTGTTGACCGGGGGCAGGCTGGTCCAGTGTTAGAGCGCGGGACTTCGGTCCCTGAAGTTCCGGGTTCAAATCCCGCCAATCGCCATTCGCCAATAGATTGTATCTAATTAATAGTTCGACAACCATCTAGGTCCCATCGACACGCCTGAAGTATTGTGCAAGAACGGTTCAGGAATAGGGTAAAAAATAAAACCAGTGGTGAACTGGGAGGAAGCTGGTCCAGTGGTAGAGCACAGTACTTCGGCCCTTGAGGTCCCGGGTTCATATCCCGCCAAACACCAATATATTTTATCCAAGTGAATTGTTGAATTCCACAACTATTTAGGACTAGCCTGAAGTAATGTGAAGGAACATTTCCAAGAATCCAGTGATGACTGCTGGTAGTGATAAGATCGCAGACCTTGTCAGCCAAAAATACAACTCACTAAACTAACATCTACTAGTATTGAACAAAAAATACCTCTACAACAAAAATATGAGATCATGGGACGGTAACGTGGGATGTTAATTTTGCAAATACAGCTAGGTACATGGAATTACGAAAAGAGGGGAGAGTAAAAGACACATTTGACGTAACCGAAAGTGACATCGGCTCTCATATCGCTCCAATAAACAAAACGGATCATCCCCCAAGTGTTATTGGCTATCGTGTGTTACAGCGGCCACATCGATAACACGAATTGATTGCAAACATGATCAATTCATACAGTGTGTCACCCTTTCATTTCTCGTTTTTCAGAAAAAGCCACCGGAATAGCTCTTTCCGCCTGACTTCATAATTTTGATAAAACTACTTTTAGGTACTTAATGTAAAATAGTAATAGTATAAAATATATAAACAGTATTTTTTAGATTTCGGTGTAGTTTTTTAGGGGGTTTTATGTCCCACCTTCGCATCCTAGGACGCTAGGTTCTAGCCCGGAACTGTTTTATACATTACTTCAGGCTAGTTCTAGTAGATCGGGGGGACCATCACGTGGTTAAAATCAATTGGTGATTGGTGGGATTTGAACCCGAGACCTCGTGCTCCAAGGCCTCGAGTTCTACCAAAAGTCAAGCTCGCTTCCATTTATTAGGTGTGTCAATAAGTTTTGTATCCTAGGTTCCTTACCCAAAAAATTTACCTACAATAAATGGTTACCGGTATACAAAGTTTACATTGTAGCCACGAATACTAAATCGGATTCCCTAAATACTAAATAAACTGTAGGTCCCTTAGTTGCCATTATCCGTATGGGCTATCAATTAACAGCTGTGTCTATGGAATATGTCGGCCTTAGTCACTAACAAGACTACAAGATCGCGCCACTCATCATACACTCATCTCCATTCATGACTTGACTTAAAATACCTACTTTGTATGGTCGCCATTTCATAAGAAAGTATTAACACGTTCGCTACTGAGCGTCGCATATATGCGACGCCGCGGTCATTGCCACAGACCGAGGTATACATTTGAATCTTACACATAGACCGACTGTCACTTGGATAACAGTACACACAGACCACGGGCGAAAACCTGTAAAACAGCGATCATTTACATTGTAATACGCTACAATGGTGTTTGTAAATAAATTATTCTTGTTCATTTGTATTTTTTATAACCTTTTGTAATGTCGCATATTTGCGACGCCCGGTCTACAGCGAAGACAATAATGAAAATTATCATAGTTTTCTTGAAATAGACTAAACGTCGCATATATGCGACAGTTCATTTTTTTTGTGTTTTAAGGTGAAAGTAAGTAAAGAAATAAACAGATTATTCAAGAACAGTTTATAACTGAACAAATATAAAAGCTACATAGGATAATGCAGCATACATACTGCATACATACATACAGTGATGCAGAAAAGTAAAGACCAGTTTTTCCAACTATTATATGACGTCACCAATCATCATATCCACAGACCAAGCGACGCAGTTGTGCGTCAGACATCTCTGTAGACCACTGCAGGGAATTCAGTGCCTTCAAATAGACCACTACAAAGATATAAGCATTTTAATAACATTAGAACCCTGACGCAAATATGCGTCGGCAGTCTATTTTAATGTGACTAACCGTCGCATATATGCGACGGCAGTCCATGGGTGGAAACCGGCCGTCGCATATGTGCGTCGCTGGTCCATGTGAATGGAAAATTTCGTACTATTGCAGTAGCGAACGTGTTAATACCTTACTAAGGAAATTATTTAACATTTAATAATGAAAATGACCCATTTGTCAGGCCTTCTAAGAATGAATATTTGATTATTCAAAGTCAATTTAACTATATAACAAGAAATTTTTTTATTTGCCCTGTATCTTAAACGTTTTTTCTAGTCCCAAGTCTGCCACAAAACAACAAGCTTAGTTAGGCGAGCCAAGTGTCTACATTAGTGATCAAAGGGATTTTCAACCACTTTACCCTAATTCATCCCCCCCGCAGTGCCTTTGACTACCCCTCCAATTTCCGTTCCTTTTAGTGGTAAGAGCAAATCATTCATAAATCAACGCCTTTAAGTAATAACCTACGAGAAAAGCGATTTTATACGCCTCAAAGATAGTCTGGATCGTACAATTTTGTGATCGGAAATTTGAGGGAAAATAGTCAAACTATATACATATAAATATGGACCTAACTGTAAGTAAAACTATATAGGAGTCGGACTAGTCATATTTGGTTTTACCTTTTTAAGTGTTGAATTCAAAAGTTAAACTACCTAGTACCTTAAAAAAATAAAACACATACGGTAAGGGATACTGATCAGCAAACACAAGTTTCTCTAATGTTTTCAAAACCAGAAATAGCTCAACAGTTTAAACAAATGAATTCACCACAGGCTTACGCACATTAATCCTTTGTTATAAGAAATTTAGTAATTATTAACTTAGATAATCGTGAGATTCTTACAAACGTTTGGTTTATTTCGCTAAATTAGGTAATTCTAAGCACTCTTTCCCCCTGGGGCTGCACTTAAGTTTACGTCGTACACTCATACGAATGAAAAATATCGATACATAGATTGTTCGATATATCGATTATTTCATTCGGTTAGTTAGGTTAGGTTACCTAACTAATTAAATTTGATATATCGAAAGAAACAATCGATATATTGATCGGTATTTTCATTCGAATGAGTGTGACTAAACTAAAGTGCAGCCCAACATATCATTACTATAATGGAGAATTAACAGTTATGCATACTCAAATAAAATTGTGTGTGTTGCTAGTGGCGCACCTCAAATTTCAGTGCGAAAGGGGTTCACCCAATTTAACATTTTTGAGGGTGGGCTGCACTCCCTTAGGCCGGTATTACACTATCATAGTTCTATGACATATTATATTATCAAATATATGATAATATGTTCTCTCAAGGAGAACATATTATCATAGTTCAAAACCATTATAATAGTTGGTACATTACACTGTAATAATTTTCATCAAAGACATATGATAATAGATATATGTCATAGAACTATGATAGTGTAATACCGGCCTTAGTATTTGCAATTCAATCACTCAAAATACCACGTAGGCTAAACACTAACAAGAACAGTAATATGAATATCCGAAATTAAATTATGTATCAAATTTAATCCCTATGAACCAAGGATCAGTAATAAATGCTTATTGTACAACGCGTATGGCTGTTAGGGTTGATGAAATTAATTAACTTAGGTGTACATATTTAGACAAATACGAGTTCAAGCTCACATTAATGTACATTATTTGAGCTCAACGTATAGATAACTCTAGAAATAGTTACTGTGCTATGGTAAACTAGGTGTAGCCCAATTGATTGGTGATGATTTAAATTGAATACAACGTTACTTACAAATCAAATCACCAAATTGAAGCGGAAAACACTACACACAGCCACCAATTATACACTTCAGAAGTCTTCTGTAATTTAAAATTATACGTTCGCAACTTTAACAAAACTTTTAATTGAGTAAAATAACAAATATAACCTTTTTTAAAGGAAAATTATACTGAACGAACAAAAGTGAAACCAGAACAAGATTATCAAAACAATAACAAATGTTTATTTCAACACATGTCCTAGAAGAATAAAATATCAAAGTCAGCTGGTTAAAAATAATCTTTTGAATAAATCACGGATATTAGAACAGGAATGGTATTGATAAAAAAACATTAACAAATGACGTCACTAGCCCAAAAGTAAACATAATTTTGTTAACAATAAATTAATACCATACATCTAAATAACATTAGGTTTAATGAGTACCTAGGTTTACTGCTACAGGTAGGGTAATAACGTGGGGTTTTAGTAAAATATTAATAGCTTAGTATAAAACAAATACATTTGTCAAGTTTCATCAACATATATCCATAAAAAAGCCAAGTATTTTTTAAACAACTAAACAATTTTTTAAATATTTTCTCCGTTACCAATAACCGTAAAAAATAATTTAATATACTAAATTATTTGTATTTTTAAGCTCTACAAAATTAGTTTGGCAAGTAATTGAGAAACTTAGATTAGGATAAAAAATGGAGAAAAACAATATTCACCCCATAAAACACCCCATTAAACCCCATCGCAATGGTCCGATCATGTTGGTTCGCGAACTCATGCAAGTTTAGCCCACCATACATCTTCAAGCCAAATTTAATTAAAATCG